TATTCACATATTTTATGTTTTGTCTTGCACTCCTTCTCACGAATTGTAAGCCGCCCTGAGTCCCCTCAGGGAAAAGGGCGGCCTATAAATGACAAATAAAACTAAAAACTAAAAAACTAAACTAAAAAAAACTATTTGAACAAAAAAAGTATTTGATCCTAGAAAAAGCTTGGGAAAATACAGATAAGGAGCTAAAAAGCAAATGGCTGTTCTTTGCCCTTACATCAATAGTGTCCACTGGCAATGCCAAAAAAAGAGAGAGAAAGTCAAAATGACAGCCACAACAGTGTGATCAAAACCCCACCCATTTTTATGAGTGAATTGAATATGAGATTCACATTAAAATAAGTAAGCTTTGCCTGTGCCATTGAAGTTGACATACTCAATGTCTTGTTTTGTCTGCCCAGTCCCAATCTGTTGCCTTGTCTTCTCTTCGGCACTGTAAGAATGCTTTATAAATAAATATATCATTCAAATTTCCTGGAAATGAAGTAATGCTCTGCCTCCAGTCTTCCTTTTCTTTGTATTTACAATATACATGGTTCAAGATCTTGGAGTGGTGAGAAAAATCCAATATCAGCCCACTAAGCTCAAAGAGAATGCTTAATGTTTTCATTTCACACAAAGGCATATTCTCTAGTGCTAAAGCACTCCCCAAAATAAATTTGAATGTTGCTTTTTTAATATTCATGAAAACGTAGTCGACAATTTAAAACATTCTCAGCTTAGGAGACTTTTGCATGATTATTCTGCCAGACTAGTTCCTAGGGATGTGATACTTGGGGCCATTCAGAAGCAGTCAAACTACATACATATATGGTGCATAAGCGCACCAGCGTGACTTCCGTCCCTGTCCTACTGTCTCCATTTATTCGTACCCATTTAGTGTATTCATATCTATGCTTATACTTATACCTGTTATCTTTTACATGTTTGACAAACTAAATAAAATAAACATCTAGTATCCCTGGGTTCACCAACAAATGCGCGATAGACATATGCGCGCTGACAAAACCGTGATGTCAAAATCGCACCTTCAAAATCGCTAATTGATTTTCAACAATAGCGCGCCGACAAATGCGTGATGACAAAATCGCGTCATCAACAAACTATAGACAGCCCGGTGAGTGTGCTGGACCTTTAACATAGTGGGACACATATACGTACGTTATAACCCTAACCCTAACCCTAATTTTATTTTATTTTATTGTGCTTGTCATCGCGGTTTTGTCGGCGCGATTTTGACGTCACGAATTTGTGGGCACGATTTTGACGTCGCGTTTTAATCGGTGCTATTTTATTGCCAATTTTAGCTGAGTCAGTGAGGAGCATCATTGAGGGATCACACAACTTTGCCTCTGGTCTACTCTAACTAGTAACAGTTCTTTAAGTTTTCAAGTGGAAAATTCTTCCTATTGACTGTCACCTAAGAATGAAGTGGAAGTGTGAGCCTCAATTTTCTGTAGCTGTTCTATTACTGGGCTGGGCTTCCGCTCCAAGACATCGTTTATTTCCAAGATGCCTCCTATGAAAAGTGATCAGGCTGAACTCTGTCTGGCCCCAGCTTGAGATCTGGGGCATCTTGTTTACTGCTCTCCATTTCACCTCATTCCCCCCCCACCCTTCATCTGTTACCTAAACTTTTTCAGGGCTCTTTTTCAGCACAGCTGGCTTCGGTTAATTTCAGCCTGCATATTTTGGAGGCCACTGAGGGGAAGTGATTCTACGGGGGCGGATGAGGGAAGTGTAACTCGAGAGCTTTGTTAAATGTCTTCCGTACATAAATCTTTTTTTATCAGCCAACTTTATCAGCTGCACACTTTGTTCGGGAATGGACGTTCCTGGGGATCCGTTCAAGTTGTATCGAGATCTCTTTCGCCTTCAAAGGCAAAGAGAGAGATACTTTCTTATTGGATGCTTAAGCTCAGAGCTTTCAAAAAAATTTATTTGCAAAGAGGACAACAGCCTCCCTTTTCTGTCAGTAGTCATTATGGGAAGCTATTTGTGGCCCCTTTCTTTTAAGGCAGTGTTTCTCAACCTTGGCGACTTTAAGTCCTGTGGACTTCAACTCCCAGAATCCCCCAGCCAGCACAGCTGGCTGGGGAATTCTGGAAGTTGAAGTCCCCAAGACTTAAAGTCCACCAAGGTTGAGAAACACTGTTTTAAGGTTTGTGTGGTCCATTTCCCAGAGTAAGCTTTTTCTCCAAGAGACATCTAAAGTTAGCTGCTGGGTGTGTATGTGGCTGTGTGTCTCAATGTACAGGTGGTTCTTGACTTACGACCACAATTGAGCCCAACATTTATGCTGCTGAGAAAGATATTTGTTAAATAAGTTCTGCCTCATTTTACAACCTTTGTTTCCCCAGTTGTTAAGTGAATCACTGCAATTATTAAGTTAGTAACACAGTTGTTGAGGGAATTTGGCTTCCCCCATTGACTTTGTTTGTCAGAAGGTCATAAAAGGTGAACACATGACCGCCGGACACTGAAGGCATCATAAATATGAGTCAGTTGCCAAACATTTTAATTTTGATCATGTGACCATGGAGATGCTGCAACGTTCATATGAAAAAAAAGATAAGTCACTTTTTCAGTGCCATTGTAACTTTGAACGGTCATTAAATGAACTGTTTTAAGTCAAGGACTTTATGTTCTTCTTACTATACTTTGTTCTCTGAATTGAAGCTGATTTTGCTGACATTTTAATATCATGCTGTGATCAGCACAGTGATGAGCCATTTTGGCCAGATGGCATTTTAATTTTTGGAAAACAGTGTATATGTTCACTATTATTATTGCTAGATGGATTTTCAGATATAATTTTTGTTTACTTCACATTTCTTTCCTGAGATTCAATTGCATAATCTGCAGTGGACATTATTCAAGCATTTTGTAATCCAAAGCAGTACAAAATTTTGTTGAATCTTACCATAGCGATGCCAACGCCACATAAAACAATAACACTCAGCATAAGCAAAGACTGCTCAGTATACCGACTGGTTAATCTTCCAATTATTAGGCCCTGGACAACCTGGGGGCGGGAGAGGGAGAGAGAGAGAGAGAGAGAGAGAGGAAAAAAAAACCAGATTAATCAAGCTCTTTGAAATTTCTAGATTAAGTACAGACTCATATTAAACAATAGTTTCTGCAGAGTATCCAGATCCAAAATTATATTATATCTAGGAGATATTCAATTGACTGAATAACATGCTTTCAGCATTATACGTTCCTGTCTTCTATCATTTGGATCACCAACAGAGAAGAAAGAGATAATTAATGTTCCTTCCAGGATATTCCGTGAAACACACCATGTTTCCTGTCCTAATTTTATATTTTTTAACAAATGTTTAAAAATAAACCTCCCAGGTGTTCACAAGTGTTTTGATCAAATCCATCAGCTCATTCATTTTGTAAGCGTGTCCATAATATTACAAATGGGCCAAAGAAATCATATTACGCTGATGACATAAAGAAATTACAGTTTAAGAGAATATTATACATAGATCCAGGCAATGGAACTTTGTTGCTTTTAAATAAAACTGGAGAGGCGAGAGGACTCTTCCAGAGGTGGTATTCAGCAGGTTCTGACCAATTCTGGAAAACCAGTGGCAGAAATTTTAAGTAGTTTGGCGAACTGGTGAATACCAGCCCTCATTGGCCCCACCCCCATCTATTCTCTGCCTCCTGAGTCCCAGCTGATTGGGAGGAAATGGGGATTTTGCAGTAACTTTTCCCTGGAGTGGGGAGAGAATGGAGATTTTACAATTGCACGTGCACTGAATCAGCAATAATGCCTGCAGTAACCCACCCCTGATTTAATCACCTCTTTCCAACAGTTTATTTGGCACACCAAATAAACCTTTTATGGCAGGTGGGGAGGAGGAACAGCTGGGAAGGCATTTTGAGTTAGAAAAATGTCTACAAATTTGGTAAGAGTGGTAGTATCCAAATTAGACAACAGCTGGTTCTGACAATAATTCATTAAAATGAGAAATGCCAAAGGAATAATTGGAACATACCATTTTGTATTTAAAAAGTGGTATTATTTCAACAAATATTTTAAAAACACAACCAATTACAATAACTATAATGCAGGAGTTCGCTATAATTTCATATAGGATTGATTTCTCTTAGTGCTTTGATAGTATGTTGCGGAATCTGTTCTAAACAATACAAGTTAAATTAAAACTTGTAAGAAACATAATGTATTTAGAAATACATTAGACAAGTACAAATTCTCCAAAATCATCTTTCAGAAAGATGAGTTTTTTAAAATAATAAAACGTGAACAAATTTGATTCTGCTTCCAATGCATATTTTGCATAGACAAAGTATGAATACTTAGTAAGAATATTTTAACTTCCCTCGCCTCCTGCTTTTAAATATTGCTGATATGGTACACATTTAAGATAATCAGTATAAATAAAAAAACTTTGCCAGTTAAAATATATCAACTAAAATTCTAAACCCACTGATTACACTTTTTAGAAATGGATTGAAATACAGCAGTACAACATAGTGCTCAGAGCCCTACTAACTAAATAGTTATATATGTACACTAACATTTGGGGGGAAATTATCCATAATCCACCATTATACACATAAGATTCCAATGAAAAGGAATCAACGGAAATTAAATTCTTCATTAGGTGCTTGAGTGACAGAATTTTTAATACAAATGGATCAAACTGTCTAGTTAACATCCCTAGGCAAGAAAAATTCATATGATTAAAAGGGAAGTTATCAACACTGTCTAAATGGGGAGCTTTTAGGGGGAGAAAAAAGCAAGTTCAAATGTAGAAAAGTAGGCAATAAATTAATGACAACACAATTTGATCCCCTAAAATAGTTCTTAAATGTATAGGTTTCTTCCTTGGGTGTGCCATTGTACCGAACAAGTAATTATAGGATTTGAGGTTTAATTGGATTTTTTCCCCACCCTAAAGGCTAGTTCCCAGACTCCACAAATAGACATTTTAACACATTCATTTCTACACTACAATACAAAAGGTACCCTGTTTCCCCGAAAATAAGATCTCCCTGGATAATAAGCCCAATTGAACTTTTCAGCGCATGCGCTAAAATAAGCTCTCCCCCGAAAATATTGCAACACAGCAGCAGCCATGAAGTGACCACACTCGCCACCTCCTACACCTCAAAAATAATAAGACCTCCTCAAAAATAAGGCCAAGCGCTTATTTCGGGGGTCAAAAGAAAATAAGACCCCGTCATATTTTGGGGGAAGCATGGTAGCCATTGTGCAGCTGATATAAAAGGAATAGCTGGGGCCACGGGCAATGTTGTGATTACTACTGTATTATCTCTTGATTAATTTGTGTGGGGGAGTGTTTACTGTTCCATGGAAAATACAAAAAGGTCCTGTTAAATCCTAAATGACTACCAGAAAATCAGAAGCTCACTCTTGTCTGCCAGTTTTATGGCTGTTGTCCTTTTAATTAAATTCTACTGTATTTCATTATTGACCTTCAGATCATGCCATTGGAATATGTGCTCTAACATGCTAAGAGTAACCAGTGCAGGATTGCTTATCCAAGATATCACTCACAACAGCAGGATTACTTTTGACAGTGCCCTAGTTTTGAGGACTTTTGGCTTATTTACACACATATTCACAGACATACACCCTCCTCCGTCAGAATGTTTCTTTCCTTAAAACCATTCAGCAAACAAAGAAAAGAGCAGAAACAATATGAGAAGCCCAAGGATGATTGCATCACACTTACAGCACAAGGAAGCAGCACAGCTGTTCTATCTGCTACAGCAGATCATAGAAGATAAAAAGGCCCATTTAATATATTGATCAGCAAAGTAATGAAAACTAAGCTGGATTTGTTATGTTTCTTTCAGCTGAAAATGGACTGATGGGGAAGGAGGATGGGGAAAATGTGCTTAATAGTTCCATCATCCATCACAAATTGTCCTGCATAAAGATAATTTAATCAATGCCAATGTGATAGCACACTGTGTTTTGCCTTGTATGGTAGTCTGGGAAAAACCACTTACATTTTGCCTTGTATGGTAGCCTGGGAAAATGTAATGTGAAAAGCAGCCAGATAGAATGCTGCTATCATAGCTTGCATTGCAGTGGTGGGATTCAGCCAGTTCGCACCTATTCGGGAGAACCGGTTGTTAACTTTCTAAGCAGTTTGGAGAACCAGTTGTTGGAAGAAATCTCTTTTTATTTATTTATTTTCACTGTACAGGGCTAATCCTGTAAGGAAGTCAGGAAGGAAACATTCTGATGTTGTTTCTAGCCTAATATTTATTGTCCTGCTTACAGAAACTGCCTCCGGTTAACCCTTATTACATTGTAACAGCTAAGGCGAAGTGCCCATCAACATGAGTGATGTTGAGTTGGCCATACCCACCCAGTCACATGACCACTGAGCTCCGCCAACCCAGCTGGTTATTAGAACAGAGACCCGGTTGTTAAATTATTTGAATCCCACCATTGTTGCATTGGAACAAGGTGCATGGCTATTGTAAGAAAGACTTCTACACCGTTGGCTAACAAATATAAGAGATAAAAATTCCGCAGGTCAAGACTGTAGGATGAGGGAGAGAGGTTTGTGTGCGTAATGTTTCAGTTCACGAGCAGACATGATGGCTATGAAGATCAGCTGCTAGCAGTAGAAAATTTTTGGAAGAAGACGCTATAAGGCAGACAGGAATCAGGATCTTTTACATGGGTTTTTTTAAAAAATTGCTGCCTCTTCAGGTCAGAATGAATGCTTCTAATAATCAGGGACTGGTGGGGTTACAGCAGATGTTGGCTTTTCAAACCTGAAATCTTGGAGAGGTCATATTCTGTGAACCCTGAGAGGCTTACACTGGAACAGGATATTCTGGTCTTTCCAAAGAAAGTTCCTTGCACAGCGTTGAGTATAAAGCTGGCAACACTTCACTGAGAAAGACACATAACTCTCTCTGTCTCCTGGATAGCACTCAAGAAGAGATATTTTCAAAGACAGTCTTTCTCCTGCGTGGTACTTTTCTGGTGATTTTTGAACTGCAATTCCTGTAAACTGCAGAAAGCATGTTCAAATGTAAAGTCTACTTTGCTCCTGCAAAATATTTCTCAGACTTAGACTTAGAATAACTTTATTGTCACTTCAAATCAGAGGTGGTATTCAGCAGGTTCTGACCAGTTCTGGAGAACTGGTAGCGGAAATTTTGAGTAGCTCGGCGAACCGGTAAGTACCACCTCTGACTGGCCCTGCTCCCATCTATTCTCTGCCTCCCGAGTCCCAGCTGATCGGGAGGAAATGGGGATTTTGCAGTATCCTTCCCCTGGAGTGGGGTAGGAATGGAGATTTTACAGTATCCTTCCCCTGGCATGTCCACCAAGCCACCCCACAGAACCAGTTGTAAAGATTTTTGAATCCCACCACTGCTTTGAATGTACACTAATTGGCATACATTAAAATGAAATTTCATTGCATACAGCTCTCACCTCTAATATACACTACACAAATATGACAAAATAAATAAATAAATAATACAAAATAATGCATATTCCCACATATATTACAGTATATAACAGAAATAACACAAGCACAGCTAATATTATAATGTATGACAGCCTAGATTAACACAAGAAACTATTTTTTTACAGAAACAGATCACTGACTAATCTGAGTACTGTAAACACCAGAATCATCTTTGCAAATAAATTCATGTAATTCATTATTTGATGTATATCAGAGGTGGTATTCAGCTAGTTCTCTCCGGTTTGGGTGAAATGATAGCGGCTTTGGGAGGTTCCGCCCACTCGTCCCAATGTAATGCGTGACCTTCTGCATATGCACAGAAGGGTGTGCATGCTCAGATGTGGTGTGTGTGAGCAGAGCGTTCACGCGCTCGCACTCACATTTGTGAACCAGTAGGGAAGGGAATCTCACCGCTGATGTATATACTTGGTCACACTGCAATAGAGAATGAATTTCCTCCCGGGGTCAGCCGCATGTGCGAGGTGGGGATGGCCGCTGGTTTCCCTGCTCCGTTTGGCGG